GACAAAGTCTGGTTGCATTGACTGTGATAGCATTGACTGTGATAGCATTGACTGACTGTGATAGCAGGTTGTTTGTCCACCACTCTGTACTTCCTGGTGTTAATTATACAAAACTGCTTTGCAATTTTCTGCCCCTGGTAGTTGATAGACTAAGCTTGAAATACATGTATCTCTTTTTATCAACTCTATATCTATATCTTTATGGACTTGATTTAGCCTCCTGTAATGCGTCCATGGTCTTTAACCTCTATTTTTATGGTCTGTGTTTCAAACTGTGTAACTCACCTTGGTTACATATATACCTGGACACTCAAGCAATGGATGAATGTAAGTAGTGTACAGCAAGTAGTCATTATCCTTTGTAAACTATATCATAGAGAAAGCATACTTTGTCTAATATATAGAATATTACCAAGGACTATGATAACCTACTGCTATTTTCTATATTCATTATATTGTATGTCTAAGTATTTTCTGGCAGTACAGGATTCTCAAGATGACAATATTATTAATTAACCTTTTCCTGTTTGTAGTAATGATTCAATGAGAGCCGCAAATAAAAAAAACAAAAACATTTTGTGCTATGCGACATTTGCATTCAGTTATTGGATTCTATTTCTGTCAAGTACTCTTGCACTTCTGCATCTAATTACTACCTTATACTAAAATATGTTTGGATATTTAGAGTACTAACAAATTTAGACTAATTTAGTTAGGCTAAAAATATACCACGAATATTCACTTTTGAGATATAATTGTTGGTATGTGTTGGTTCCTGGATATTTTATCTTTGTCGTCCTGTACTTCGTTTAGTAATTCAAACTTCCCAGTTAGGTAAAAAGGGCGAGTTTCATGATTTTTGACATCAAAAATGCCTTTGCTTCATTATTTGCTGAGGGACGGTTGCTTAGGTATGTGCTCTGTAACTTGCAGCAAATGAACCTAAAAACGTTAGGTAATCAAACAAAATGACGTTGTACTAAAGTTCAAAATATATGTTCAAGGTCTGCATTTTTTCGTAGCATAAAAACGATTTACTCCCTCGCTTATTGTGACACCCACAAATCAACTGATTTTCATTCCCCTCAAGAGTCAAAATGATATGTGCGTCCATTTTACGGCATAACTCAAAAAAATCTGTTTTGCTTGACGTGTTCATTTGCCTTCAATTGTGTTTCATTGGCTGTCACAGTCGTATTCTGAGTCTTGCCGATAACATTTTGGTTCAAATTCATGTAGATATCGCCGAGAAAACTCAAATCTTCAACTAAAGCTAATTTGCATCACAATGTTTTTGCCCTTGTTCGCCATATTGAACCCTGCATACAACTAGGCAAACTCACTCACATTAAATTGCGTTTTGGAGTGATAGGCAAAAATGTATTAATTTGCACTAAAGTACGTTCAAGATCTGCACTTTCTCATAGCATAACACGGTTTTTACCCTTGATTACTAAAATCAAAATATAACTGAGGTAGCTATCGCCGCGGTAATTAGTTTCTCACCTCTTGGTTATGATTGTTGTCCAAGTCATTGACGTCCCAAATTTTGGTTCCTGGGCGCCACTAATATATAAGCTATATTACCGCTGGGCTGAATCAATGATATATCACCCAAAAAATGGATGATTGGGTGAAAATCGTTTCTTTTTTATTTCTTTTTTTTACCTCAACATTTTTCGCTTGGAAAGGTATTCAGCTAAATTTTGGATTTGGTAAATAGTCTCTCACCCTTTGGTTATTACACAGGGACTGTAGTTATTACAGGTATCACTGATTTTTCGCTGCCGGAGTGATTCATTTTCTAAATTTTGGTTTCGTGGATGCCTCTAATAAATAACTTATCCTATTTTTGGCCTCGACCTTTTTTCGCTCAAAAGGCAGAGCCGATAACACTAGATTCTCAAGGACGCAGGTAGTTTGAATCGAACGATTTCTTTTGTTTCCCATTCATTGTACGCCTAGAAACATGGCAACATTGTTTTTGGTGAATATA